ATAACACCGACGTAATCGCCTTGAGTGGTGCAGACAACGGTCACTCTGGGATCAGGAATGGAACAGTATTGTCTTTAGTGACGAGTCTCGATTTTGTTTGGGCATGCACGATGGTCGTGCCAGAGTTAGAAGGCGACGTGGTGAAAGGAGGAATCCACAGTTTTTTGTTGAAAGACATGTTCATCACACTGTTGGAGTTATGGTTTGGGGTGCTATAGCTTATGGTTCCAGGTCACCTTTAATCTTCATCAGAGGTAACATGAACGCGCAGTGTTATATCCACGAAGTTCTAGAACCCCATCTTTTACCCTATCTTGACACCCTGGCAGATCCAACTTTCCAACAAGATAATGCCCGACCAGATGTTCCAAGAGTCACAATAGACTTCTTTCAACATAATGATGTCACATTGTTACCATGGCCACAAGATCTCCCGACTTATCCCCAATTGAGCACGTGTGGGAGATTGCTCAATTTGCAACGTCCTCCTCAGACTCTAAAAGCACTTCGAGAGGAGTTGGTGGTTGAATGGAAAGAGATACCACAGGAGGACATTGACCACCTGATCAGAAGCATGCCTAGGAGCGTTGGAGAATGCGTAGCACATCAGGGTGCATCCACGTATTATTAAAGGTCAAAGGGCTTTAAAGCAGTGCAATCATTTTGAAATTTTTATCATTTACTTATTATGCTTCATTAAGTACTTATACAAAATTTTATTAAAATAAAACCATTTAAACTGGGTGTTCGGATTTATATGTCACTTAGTATACAATCGTTCCTGCAATATAGACAGCATCATATTTCTTGACATGGTAAAAAGCTAGAAAATCATATAATGAAGCTTTGTATTTTATGCTACCGTCGAAGGAATGCAAATGGTACCACTGGCACTGTTACCATACCGCTTCTATTGCAATGGGTAGTCGAGTAAAAACTAAACAGGAAGTGAGCCACCTGTTCAGAGTGGTACCCATCTGGGCCATCTCATCACAAGTCAATTCCATTTTTTCCAAGAAGCACCGGCACGGGCCACGGAGTACCATGTTGCACAACGATCTCGCGTCTGATTATCATATGAACAATGATTTTCGTTCAACCCATGACATAGCGAACGTCGAACACCTAAATCAAATGTTAATTTAAACAGTCTAAGGATGTCACATTTCAAACGCCAGCACGCGTCGCCGTGTGGATGCACCATTAACATATAATATGTTATTATTCTTTTTTAATAACAATGTAAGGTGTGATTTAACCTTAGCATCATCCTTTGACGACCACTCGATTCATACAGGGATGGCGAGAAATAATTGTGGTGCAATCACTGTAGCTTGAAAAATCGGGGTGCCAAAAAGATTTTGCCACCAAGTCTAACTTCCCAAATAGCACACATATATCTTACGTTTAAAAAATAATCATCAAAGAGTATATTCACTGAAAAGGATGATTTAAGAACAAGATAACTTCTTAAACTGTCAAACTTTTTTTGTGTATGGCGATACGAAGCTCGTCTCAGCCAAGTCCCAATTTAACTACGCCTCGTGTTGACTTGCAGACATAAATAAGTAAGTAGGTACGGGTTGTTCCTTAAACTTTTTTAATTTTGTAATCCAAAATTTGTTGGTTATGCTGCTTTTATGCCATATAAACCTGAGCTCTCTTAATAATGCTCTTCGGTTATTCTGTAGTGCTTGGGTTGTCAGCATAAACCTTGGAAAAAGGAAATATGGGTTCGTAGGAACAGGTAATCCTAGGAACCAGATGACACTTAATGATACTGAAAACATTGTTCACAAAATGGTTTGTCTAACATTTTAAAATAGGTAATAAAGCCTTTATGCATGCTTTTTCTTCTACTACGATCCTGTCTCCATCATCTCCATCAAGAAAAATGGCGCTCTAGTCCATTATAGCCCATCCTCCTCGGTGTAAGATTGGAATACTTCCACGGTTCATTACCTACGGTGTATTAACTCAGACACCTGTGTATGCACTTATTAGTTCTTATATTAATTTTCAATATGAGCGACTTGTTTTCCTGTTCGCATCTATAACACTGTGGCGTACACAGATTGTTAACAATGTAGTTTGTCACGTTGCTGTTTTGTAAGAACTTTAAAAACTTGATCATAGTAATACAACGTATATTACACATTACAAAAGCAAAAATAAAATTATTAAACTATTGTACAAATTTCATCAACTTTGCGGTAAACCACGCTCATCAGTTCAAAAAATGGCGTTGTCAAGTACGTTGGCTTTGTACTTCCGACGCAATTCTGGTCAGATTTCTTGAACTATCTGGCATCTCTATTGTTTGCCGACTATGGAAGTCTTTGTACCTTGGCATAAGGACGTAAGGTGGAATGAATGTCAGTAAAAAAACCAACAACCGAAATTGAAACTATTAGCTTTAAATACACATGATGTACAGTAATGCACACTATCTGAATCTACCTTATTACATTCTGGTAGGGCGCGGTACTGAATCCCTTCCATAGTTCCACCGAAGCCTCTCGCCCTTCCGTCTCTCTAGCCACCTGACATAACATACACAAAGCGGATGCCTTCGAAGCATCCAAATAAACTGAGCATTATCGTTACTATTAATTACCTCAACACTGGCGAAGGTGTCACACATGCTTTCATATAGCTTATAGATCAGAGTAGTATGTCTCGTTGCTTCACAAAGATCAAAGGGTACAGCTATACATACATCTTCTAACTTTCCATTTCCAACACCCTGCCCAACCATAAAAATAAGCATAATTATTATACAAAAGCGTCATTGTTTTCTTCGTCTGTATCACATCATACGTCTCCGAATTTTTATTCTGTAACATAATAACAACGTTTCAGATTTTATTGTACGGCAACATGCAATTTATGATGAATTAATTAATCATTAATTATTAATGTGACATCCTTACGATCCAAACATTGTTTTGTCTGTTGCAAAGTTCCATTAAAGATCGATTCGACACGGGTTTTAGAAATTATTATACTCAGTGGCGTAAGGCGTAAGGTAAGGTAAGGTGTTGAACAATATCTGCATTACAAGAAACTGTCAGTTATTTTAGTTGATAAATTTGTCCTCTATATCTCTATTTAACCTCAGTACCTTCTGCATCGCTTTCATTGGCGTTTGGATGGAGGTCGACGTATTTTGAAGGAGCAAGGGTTGGCTTCAGGAGGGTATGACGCATATTGAAAGAATCCTAGTTAGGCTAATGATTGTATTGATAATCTTCACAGCTCACTAGTTCTGGGCTTAGTACTTCTTGACAGTATTCCTAATCTGATTTTTCATACTTTCTCTGATTTAAATCGCAAGCTTCAAGAATGAATATGTCGGCAAGATGAGACGATGAGTTATGATCGTTTCGCACGTCATCTTTTTTGCTTTCTCATAGCAAACTGGACGTTCCTCGTTGCAGTAACGGACTGTGAAATATATTATCTATAGCACATACGGGTTCCGGCTATCTCTCACGTATAGTTTCGAGATTAACTATCCGATAGAACAGTAGATTAAAACCGCCACTTCCTTACTGTTGCGATAGACTTTTACCTTAAATTATAATTAGTTCATTCCATGTACAGCAACCAATTCTGGATTCAATGTTAACATTTAACCATGTCAAGTACATTCGGTTGTTTCATATTTCTCCGCCTACTTAGAATATATACAGCATATCGTATAAGATCCTTAATGGATGTCGATGATGAGGGAGCTAGGAACCGGTAGTTGTAGATAAACATATCGGGGTACATTATTAAATCATCCAGATATTTAAGAGCTACTTGAAACAGATAAAACTCAGTCTATACAGGGTATTAACAAGGAACCTGACCAAAACTTCAAGGGGTCAAAAATATAAATGTATGTACAGTACGAATGGCTTGGTTTTCTAGATATAGATACAAAAATTAAAAAAAATAGCTCCAACATTATAGTTTGACCATACTTTTATACTTTCAAGCTCTTTTGCTTGAAGTCAATACAATGGAAGCTAGTTGATAAGGACTAACGACGAAGTGGAAAAATTTAACAGAAAAAGCTTAAACTTTATTTATTGTTGTATTTCTGTGTCTACGCTTTCACTTAGCAGCTGCTTCTGTATGTAAAAAAATGGAGCTGCTTTACTCCTGGTCTTGATGTTCGTCAGAGGATTTACGAACGTCAGTCATAGCAGTCAGGGATTCGTATTAGAAAATGTTCGAATCCGACTACCAGCTTATAAAAAAGTACACGGACTTCTGGAAATGAAGACAAAGGTAGTAGTCGATATTCTCAATGACAATCGATCGTTTTTTTGCAATTAACAGATTAACGCAAGCAATCCAAGAATGTAATAAACACTTCCACATTCTAACAATGAGGCGGGCATCGGAAATTAATCGCTGTTACCTATCCGCAAACAAAAGAAAAAGATGCGCAGCGAGCTGCGATTCCAATAACCTGCAATTAAATGGAATGTAATTGCATTTTTTACAGCTGCTATGCCAATAGAATATTTTCTATTTCAATACCATCTTCGCACTTTTACTTATTTCTTGCGGTTTTAAGCTTTCTCCCATAATATGATACGATACTTCTTTGCTCATCTTATTGTTCTACTTTTTTGCCGTGATGAATTTTTAAAGGATTTTCAGTGTTTGTACCGTTTTTTGTCCTAGTATTGTTCATGAACGGACTTTCCTGATTCTGATAAATCTGGGTACATAAATGTGTATACCTCTGCCAACTGAAGACAAACTGAAGACATTTTGATACTAATGTTGAATGCGTACGTGCATGAACATACTGAACGGTTGAAAAGACCTCTCATTGAACCTCCTCAGTATTTAGCTAGTATCCAAAATTGTCACATCTGGTTTGTGATTATTTAACCACCTGCGGTGGTGATAGTTTTGAAATCTTCAATGACAACCACTTGACTGAAAAGTCAAAATATTCTGACACAATTCCAACTTTTTGATAAGCTGATAATCAAATGGCTTTCATTATAAATTCCAAAGTTGTTACCCCTACGAAGATCGTCAAACCACCACCAAAAGGATTAGTCTATGAAATTCCAGAAAGGTACAAAAACTCCTTCTACTTAGCAAATGCGTCTCTATTCGACAGTACCAACTGGTTCCTTCACAGAACTTTCGAGATATTCTTCCCCACTTTGAAGAAGGAGATCAAAAAGTATGAAAGGTACAAATCCTTGAATAACGAAAACCTTCACGCTAAAACTGAGAACCTTGTGCAGGTATTGGACCAATGTAACTCCATAATTGACGTGAGGTACCCTATTAAAAGAGACAATGGTGAATATAGGATCATCAGGGGCTTTAGGGTCAACTATGGCCAAGAAACTGGCTACAAATCTTGCCTAGGAGGCATAAGACTTGGTCCTGACATAACTAGAGATCATATGAAAGGCTTGTCGGTCCTATCAGCATATAGAAATGCAAGCTTAGGCATTAATATGTCAGGAGCTCACGGTGGAATCAAGGTAGACCCCAAAACCTACTCGGACAATGAGCTGAAGTCAATTCTGGAGGGCTACACTATCCAACTCATGAATAAGGGCTACTGTTGTGAACGAGACATCGTTTATCCAGATATGAGTTGTTCTGTCAAGGAGATGGATTGGATTGCAAGAACTATCGCCAAATGTCGTGGTGATGCATCAATAGTAACAGCAACAGGCAAGTCGCAAGAGCTTGGTGGATTTGAACACTACGTCAAGATGCTTTCGCAAGCTTCTTTCGCTGCTCTGAACTTCGTTTTGAATAATCAACAGATGATGGATAAAGTTGGGTTGAAAACGGGACTTAAGGATAAGACTTTTATCCTACAAGGACTGGGTAAGCTTGGAGCGCCTCTGGCAAAAATGTTGTCAGAAAATGGGGCCATATGTGTTGGAATTAAAGATACGGATGCCTTCATTTACGACGCTAAAGGAATTGACTTCCAGAAACTCTACGAGCACAAAATGAAAATGGGTACATTAAAAAACTTTGGATGTGCTAAAGAAGACACCAAGAACGATGTCTACACTGAACCTTGCGACATTCTGATCTTCGCAGCTAAACAGAGGAGTCTCAGTTGCTACATTGCTGAAAATGTCAAAGCAAAAGTGGTTTTAGAGGCTGCTGAGGCACCAATGACACCAACTGCTCACCAGATTTTAACAGGGAAGGGTAAAATTGTGATACCTGATCTATATGCTTGCTCAGGAGGAACAGTGTGCTCATATTTGGAGTTCCTCAAGGGTCTGCAGCAAAGTGGGAGGCTTAGTGAAGATGCTTTGAGATATTCAGGTGATATTTACCAATCTATCTTGAAGAACATGAGCGGTAAAGAGATTCTAGAAGCTGGTGGTGTCACTAGACATCTTGAAACACATGTGGACGAGAAGACACTTATAGATTCTCTAGATTGTATCTTGACGGATGTTGGAAATGACATAGTAAAACTGAACGAGGTTAACAAATTGGGGACAGACCTGAGGACTCCAGCCTATATGCTAGGTATATCTAACATATTTAAAGCTGTATGTTGTCAAGGAAATTTTGTTTAAAGACGTAAGTAAAGTTATTTCATCAAATCAAAATGTAATTTCAGTTCACTATGGCATATCTTGGCGTTCATGTCAGTCCATGTCAGTAACCACTGCAATGATTTCAAAATTTTTGAGAGTAAGTACTGCTCCTGTATTTTGAAGAATCGGTGCAGTGGTGCCAGGGATACAAGAGAAAAGAGCATTTGTGTGGTTTCAGAGTATACCTAACATCCAGGTCTGCATTTTTGAACGTTATATCAATTGTATTTTATTTGAAAGGCATCGAAAAAAGGAGATCAGTCTGTTCTTCTAAACTCCAATTTATAAATACTGCTTTTGGTGTATATTGAGCATATATCAAGGACGTCAGTAGTTATTGTTAAATACTAATTGTATGTACCGCAGCAAATACTGATCACGTTATATGCGCCTTACACCTTGCTTCAACCTACTCGATCCTAGAAATAGGTCACTTGTTACCACACTAGTTCCTATCATTATTTCTGTATCAAAATCTTTGCTACGCATACACCAACACGAAATAAGGCATGTAACTATATGTAGAGTCAGTCACCTTGTATACATCAAATTCATGCGAATGAAAGAAATCGAATCATATCTTCTATTGACAGACAGGTCAATTATTTTCGCATATATAGTCAAATCAAATTTGCATTATAAGATGACATTTAGAAAATGGCATTAGATATGCCGTGTGCGATACTATAATGGCGTAGGTGAAAATTGGTTCTTTAATAGATACACCATTGAACTCACGAATACAGGCATGAAATGGGCGTATGTAAGGTTTGTATATAATATGTGTATATTATCTATCCTAGGCCCAATTGATGAAAGGAAAGTGGGATGTAGTCATTTTACTCCAAAGACATGGATAATGCAACCACAGGATAAGTGTCAGGGGGACACTTATCCTATGGTCTTAATGCTGAAAATCATCCATGCTTGCCTGGCCGCTCAATAAAACCACATTTTGTTTGAATAATTGTGGCCTTTTTCAAGTACAAATGTCAACTCTCATAGTGATATATTTTTGTTTGTATAAACAAAATTAGATAAGCTTTTAGCTATTTTATATTGTCGTTTGTACTTGTGGGCCGAAAAGTCGTGTCAGTAAACGATTATTCAAACATATATGCTTTTTTCGGGCAAACATGATAAGACAGGAATACTTGGGATACTCAGTTTTAAGAGGCTGCAAGGCACGATCACAGGCATTCAGTAGATTGAAAGTAAGAAGGATACTGATGAAAAAATGATTTCATATTGACTCCGTGCTATAATTAGTCAACTTATTCTACCTGAAGATGGGCAAAAAATTATCCGAGATAAAATGGAATACCGTAGGGTCATATATGAAAAGTTGGTACAGCTATTTCGCTATTTACTATGTATGCTTTAAAAAGGTCTCATAGATGGCGCTGTCCATATGAGCATATACAAGCATATAGGTAGTTGGAGCGCCATCTATGAGCTACTAACCTTTTTAAGATATATTTAGTAAATAGGGAACAAGCTGTGACAAATTCACATAGTTGACGGTATGGCATCTCGGATAATTTTTTGGACGTGCAGATATAGCATAATGCTCGCCATCTTCTGGTAGAGTACGTTATTCAATGGTGCTTGATACCCATGTAATTCCGTTATTAGTTCATAAAGTTTGGGCGCGCTATTTTCGTCACATCTTTTTGACGGATTGTGCCGGCGATTATGGCTGTGAATAAGATTTTACGGTGCACAGATCCGAACAAATTCAAAGTGACCTGAGATGATGAAAGGATATCCCGAGCAATAAAGCATCAGGAGGCTCTTGACTTCTTAGTTCATTACTCCAAAAACTGAGAATGACAAAGAAGTACGGCGGGTTTCCAAAAGCGTTTGAAAAATATCTCCTTTCTAACAGCTAATAGCTTTTCCATGATAAAGAGTAAAAATGCAGGCGTAGTTAATTGCCGATTGATAAAACCGAAAACGTACGTATTCGACAATTAATCAGTATGCATCCAAATCAGTTCAAATTACTGCGCCGCCGACGACAGCTGGTCAATGGGTGTATTTAGATAAGCTCTAATTCGGTATTCGATCTACCAGAAAAGGCCATCTAGAAAAATATACCAGGGCAGTTCGTTCGTTAGCTAGGACATGCCTACTATCCCTTCAAGCTCATAAGGGGATTTTCTGTATAATTCTTAAATCTGAAACTACAAGGTCTCTTCCATTCTAATTGTTCTCGTGTGCAACTATTTGATTTTCAAACGGAAGTTGTTACGATCTACATCAGTGATTCCACATTGCTCTTGTTACCCATAAGGAGAACCCCAACTTTCGCTTCTCCGATGGTACACGATCCAAAATATTTACTGACTGTGATTGGCACCCAAGTACCCATTGATGGACGGTTAGCAGAAATGTGTTCTTTCCGACTTTCCCTGCATGTTCTAATCTTACCGTCGCTGTTAAGTACATAATAAAAATGTAGCTACAGCGGGAAGCTATGTAGAGCAAATAGATATAACAAATCACGAGGAGTTTTTTAAAGGCGTGTTCAGGTGTTAACCTGAAAGATTCTAGTCAAGCTGATTGAATCCAAGTCTACCTTCCTCTTATTGTCGAAGCATTAACAGAAAGTAATTTTTTACTTTTCACGCCTTCATGCGAGGAAGTATTGTAATGTTACTGATTTCCAATGGTCTGTCTGTCTGTCGAAGTGTCTGTCCACCAAACCTCGGCCCGTCTATAACTTCGGAAGTACCGCTCGGATTTAGATGAAATTTCTACAAAAGGTTACTGCTGGGCTAGGAACAAGAAAGCGTTGGCGGGGCTAGGGTAGAATGTTAGAGTAACGTTTTCGATTCGTGTCTTTGCGTCTGCTGCCCTGGGTCACCTTCTATTACTGCCGCTGTGGTCCGTGAGGGCCGAAGGGCGACGTTGCCAGATGGACTGGTAGGGCAGGGAAAGGATGTCTATGGACTAATTGTATGGTCCTGTTTGGGTGATAACGTGTGTTAATCAAAATCCATCATGAACTGATGACGGCGTTGCATGGGAAGTGCAGGCCCTATATCTGACACCATTTTCTTCCTAACAATAACCTGTATATCAAAACTAAATGGACTAAATGACTTTTGAGTCGCTTTTATTCATGTAAGTCACATACGGTAAGTTCGTTTACCTCAAAAGTAGAACCCCTTCGGCTGCTGCATACTCGCAACGTTGGCTAATAATTCGAAAGAACCGAGTCCTACGAAGTTGTAAACTACTTTGGATAAAAAAAATCACGAATGAGGCTCGGTAGTATCAATTGTAAATACTACATAGTACGCAGGGATTTGCAGACATATTTTAGCGTTAGCACCGTTAAAATAATGCTCGACAAACTACTATCAGCTAACAATTGTCCACTTAGTTCATGAAACACATCCAACAGCGTACAAGAAAGTGCATTATTTAGCTCAGCACAGCTTCGCTTCAGAGCAAAAATCGGATTTCACATAAAGATTTATCTGTTGCACCTGCTTGAGTATAACAACAGCGCGCTCGTTCAACAAAACCATATCATTTACATAAAAAATGAAACCAAACGGCTTCTTAATCAGCAATTACCATTATGTTGGAATAAGTAATCGCGATTTAATAACTTTCATAACCACTTTAGTCTGTCTTTTATTAAAAATCACCAGCATACGGTTAAACGCAAAAACTAAACCGTATACATGCTACGAACGGTAGAGTCAAACGATAGTAGATCTAACAACAAAAGCGTCTATGAAGCGTCTTGAATTGGGCGATAATGTCACTCAACAGTGCTTGACATATGGTTATAAATTACTGACACTGTCGAACATTGCTGAATGTCATTTTCTTGCGCTAGAAATTCACAAATTGCCTGCACAAATGGACACCTGTTCGCAGCCAATGCAAAAAATTTTAGTTCCTTGTTCTGCTAGATGAACTGCTCTCTCAGTACTTGGTACACCAATATCTTTAGACAGTAGGGTCACGTCACACGCCACAAGACCTGCTCTTTGGAGAGCTGTGTTGGCTTCTGGGAGGCCGTCATGTAAGTTCCCAGCCCCACCGAGTTTTCCTTCAAGATTCTCCCCAGTTTTATCAGCAGTGGATCGTGCATAATCCTAACGGCTGAAGCAAGCACTTTGCCGAGAGTGTCTGTCATTGAAAAGGACATCTGATCTCTGGGACGGCATCACCTGAAGTGAGTTTATTTTTAGAAGTATCTATACTGTGGTAATATCGTCCAGTTTATCTAATTATATCTAGATACTGTTATCCGAGACGAAGGTTACAGCTAAGGACGAATTCTTAATTAGTTCCCAGAGCTTGTGTGATATTTTTGATAGAAGGTTTTATATTATAAAAAGTGATCGATATTAGGAAGCATAATATGAGGTTTTTATACGAGTATTGTTCGCGTTTACCGTTAGCCAACTGCGCTGATGAGAATTTCAAGGCAGCTGTCTGAATTTAATGCGTATATTATTCAATTGCTAAAATCCAGAACCATTATATCTTTATCTTTAGGATACTGCAGTGAGAATCCTAGCACAGTCGCACCTTTCACGAATGTTGCATTCAGGTTACAATGCGATCCCGGCTTCAGTACTGTGATTTTGTGAAAAGAATTTTGAACAGGATCGCATGTTTTCACAGACAATGCTACGATTGGTGCCACATCACGGCATCACGCATTAGTTAAAGATGTATACTAATAAAGGTTTTTCATACCTTTTCAAGTTATGATACTTGGGGCGTAACTAGCTTAGTAGCTTGTAGGTACGTATACATTGTAAGAGACCTTGGGGAATAAACTGGTGCACTAACAATACTTTTCAAAAAGGCCCATCATGCAATTATTTTTTGCGCAGGTCAAGCGAGTAAGCTGAAAGGGGTGATGAAATTAATACCTGAATACTATCTTCTATATTAAAAGTGGTAGTAGAAATTTATATTTAAGGTGGACAGGCGCCATCTTGGAAAAGTTTTTGGGTAGAATAGGGAGTCACACAAAAACTGAAAGAACTAAAACAACAAATGACTCAAACTCTAGTATATAAAGCACATGTGATAGAATTTGGAATACTCCATTTAAAAAATCGTGTCAATCTTCTTCAAAAGCAATGTGGCAAAACTTGTTGAACAATCAGGTAGACCCTTGCAAAGAAGGAGATTGACATATCACTATGGCGTTTTGATGATTAGTTGTCGAGTTACGAGAGATTCAATTTACAAAAAAGATGGTGTTTTGTAGCCCGCCAATAGAATAGGACAGTGAGCTAATACTCATACAAATTGCTTAGAATGAGCTATGTCACGACCTCCTCGTTCAAATTGAAAAAAAACAAGATGGCATTCAACCGTCATGTTAACATTTTAACTGTCACCTTTACGTTAGAACATAGTTATTCACGCATAAATTTTATCACCCGAATTTCAGCCTTGGCGTTTAAATAAATAAGTAGAGGGCGACTTTTTTTCAAAAGCGCGATAGATGCACAATCATTCAAATAACAAGTATTCGTCGGTTTATTATATCTGATCGTTCCACGCTGCATATCTGAATTCTTGGCATTTCATAGACTTTACGCAAAATCGAATGAAATGTTGTTTTTGCTCTAGCTCAGTATTGTAATGTAAGCGGCGAAATAAAAGCAAATTTGAAGGCCCAAGAGCGTGCAGCCATCCATCATTTATTGCAAATAACACCAGCGTCTTCGTCTCCACTTTCGTAACGCCACGTAACATACAAAAACCAGTCATCTTCTTTTCAAAAGATAATTACAGAGCGTATCATGTGTCGAAAAACGTACTTTTCAGGTTCTGAATTATATCATTTTGGCTGATTTCAAGGTAAGAAATTGGAGTGCTTTCTGTATGCGCGCGTTTATACTGCCTTTCAAAGAAAATGACCCCTTATGACTGTTTGCAAGCATACATTTATACATGCATGCAACGTCTTGGATATACCAGATAGGAACATATTAGCTGTAACACCTGTTGCATAAACTATACAGGATGTCCCACGTAGGCAACGATCGATTATTCAAACAGTTGAGTAACACAGAAAAATTTGGGTTTACAGTACAGGCTATAAAATTGCTTGTACATGTCAACTGTAATTGCAGCAATTCCATTCTTGATTATTGTCCTCAACCCCTATACGGCCCTCATATCTGTCAGAGTGGTCCGTAAGACCTTTGCTGTTGGTTAAGGTAACGTATGTTAGTAGGTCGGTCAGGTCTGGTTAGCCAGATACCAGACAAAATCAGGGAGAAAGAAGAGAAGAGAGAAAGGAAGGAAGGAAGGAGGGAGAGCAAAGAGGAGGAAGTGCAACGGTTTGGGGTGTCTTGGCATTGTAAGCTGGTATTCGGGAATTTTAAATAATAATAATAATAGTAATAATAATTATAATAACATGCCTTTATTCGATTCTTTCACAAATACATATTTTGGTTAAGGTGAGGTACTGAAAATTTGAAATTAATTCAGTGATTGGTTGTTGTAGAAATATTGTAATTTTTGTTGCACGATTTGATTTGCAGTGCAAGGCGAGGTCTGCCTGCGATGCTGCTCGACTGTGTAGTATGCTGACTCATACAAAGGGTTGCTATGTGATTCAGCTTGACACTCTGCATGCTACGGAGCTTCCCTCTCAAAAAATCATATACAGGATACTTACAATCTGCATGGATACCATGTGAATTCACAGGATTCAAAATTTTCGATCCCACAGCTTAAAGGAATTGAATACGATATCAACATACTATAGTTCCAACAAGAAGGAGCCACTCCAGGGTATCTACGCAGTTCGCACGGGCGCTGTTTTGTGAACATGTATATGATTATTATTTTAAAGAGGAATTTACAGAAATAAGCTTGGTATTATTTACGGTTTGGAGGCAATATTCAAGAATGACACTGCTGCAATTCCAGGTGAGATGCTACAACTAGAAATGCAAAGGGGTCACCGAAAGGGAGTTGTTTTTCATAATTCGTAGCTTTTTCAGAAAAACCTCCATTACCATTCTCAAATTTGGAATTTATTTACCTTTCCTAGCTTGAATATTAGCAGTTCTATGGCCAGTTAGTTTTTAGAATCTACGCCAGATTTTGAATACATTTCAGGTATATCGCCCCATGCCTCCTATATGTAATCATTTTTGAGATATCTCTAGCAGAGACCGTTTGAGTAAACCACATAGGTTATACAGGGTGGCCCATAAGTCCTTTGAGCTGGAAAAAAGGGAATAAAACCAAACTAGTTACATTATGAAGAATTATTATATTTTGTTATCATCTTTATTGAACGGGAATTATGTTTTAAAAATCACATCGTCTAAATGCAATCCATTACGACCACGGCACTCATATAAACGGCGTCTAAAATTGTCGATGACTGCGCGGCAAGTCAACACTGTAATGGTTGCCATTTCTCTTCGGATATTTTCTTTCAGGACATCAACTGATCGCGGAGTGGTGTCGTACACTTTACTCTTGAGGTAGCCCCATAAAAAGAAGTCCATTGGGGTCAAGTCTGGACTACGTGGTGGCCAGGAAATGTCTCCTCTTCGAGAAATTACTTTGCTGGGAAAAAGTTGACAGACGACGGGCATAGAAGTGTTGGAGGTGTGGGCAGTTGCTCCGTCCTGTTGAAACCAGGTCTGCGTATTATTATAGCCTGGAAAATTCTGCAACGCTGTTGTCAAAAACTCCTCTATCATTGCTACATACCGCTCCGAAGTAACAGTTAATGCGCGACCTCTGTCGTCCTCAAAAAAATAAGGGCCTACGATGCCATGCGCTGACATAGCAGCCCAAACTGTAACTTTAGGGCTGTGTAAGGGCTTCTGATGCTTACGCCTTGGATTTTCGGGGCTCCAATAACGGCAATTTTGTTTATTTACATGCCCGTTTAAATGGAAGTGAGCCTCGTCCGAGAACAACACATTATTGAGCGAAGAAAATCGATTCAACATTTCATTCGCAAAGTTTAGTCTCTGAATAGCGTCATTATCTTTTAATTCCTGCACTAACTGAATTTTGTAAGCGTGCAGACGTAAATCTTTCCTTAAAATCCGCTGTAAAGATGTTCTGGGTACGTTTAGTGCACTGGAACGCTTACGAGTAGACTGGGTAGGATTTTGACGAACAGACTGTTCCACAATGTTGATGTTTTCTTCAATACGAGTTGTCCTTGGTCGACCCCACCGATGTTTATCTAACGTCGAACCAGTCTCTTCGAACTTAGCAACCCAGTTCTTAATCGTTTGAGCAGTTGGACACTTTGTAAAATTGTGTAAATTGTTGTATTCTCGATATTTACGCCGCGCAATGGTTGGCGAATCATTATTTTGATAAAACGCGCACACACAAAAAGCACGATCCGCTCCAGTGAAACACTCCATGGCGACTGAATTCCCAGACACTGAAGATACTGCCGCCACCTCGCCCGCGCCGCTCACGCTCACCCGTTAAATTTTATTCAAATTTGAAATTTCAAAGGACTTATGGACCACCCTGTACTTGAATAATGGCTCATTGGTTTCCAATCTGTAGATAAGTATAAGCACTACAGTAATATGGCAATTGCGCCCCTGGACATATTATAAACTCAACTACAGAAAAACTTTGCTAATTTTGCGTTTCAATATAAAAAATCAACTAACTTTAAATAAATGCACTAATTTACAAAACTTGTCAAGACTTACGTTATATACATACAAATCAGCAAAATAGGCTAAGCAAATGTATCATCTCGGCATTGTACTGTCGGGTGCAAAGCGTTAACTTATTCCCACTTCGTTTTTCCAGTACCACCTGCCAACCAGTAGCAAAATAGGTACTCAAAATAACGGGTGATCTTTTAAGAGGTATAGGATTTGATTTTCAAAAAAAAACACAAAAAATCTGAAAAAACGATTAATTCTTTATTTAAGTCGATAGAACGGTCGATATAATTTAATGTTTAAAGATTATTTCATGTAAATGTTGGCCGCGGTTCCGCTTTAGATGGCCCATGCGCAAGGTCCAATTTTGGCACACTCTCTCCAACATATCGGCCGGTACTTCACGAATAAATGCTTCAATATTGGCTTCCAGTGCGTCAATCGTTGCTGGTTTATCCCTGTAGACATTAGCCTTAACATGGCCCCACAAGAAATAGTCCAACGTCGTTAAATCACACGATCTAGGCGGCCAATTGACGGGCCCAAACGTGAGATAAACTGTTCACCGAACTCACCTCTCAATAGGGCCATTGCTTCGTGTGCGGTGTGGCATGTGGCACCGTCTTGTTGAAACCACATGTCAGCCAAGTCCAGCTCTTCCATTTTGGGCAAAAAAAGTTTGTTATCATCGCACGGTAGCGGTCGCCATTCACAGTTACGTTCCGGCCATTGTCGTCTTTGAAGAAGTACGGCCGGTGATACCACCGGCCCATAATCCACACCAAACAGTGATTTTTTCGGGATGCATTGGTAGCTCTTGCAATGTTTCTGACTGGTCTTCACTCCAGATGTGGCAATTTTGGTTGTTAACGTACCCATTCAACCAGAAATGAGCTTCGTCGCTGAACACAATTTTTCGATAAAAATGTGGATCTTCCTCCAACTTTGCCGGCGCTCAATCACCAAATGGGAAACGTTGTGGGAGGTCGTGTGGCTTCAATTCTTGCACCAGCTGTATCTTATGAGGTTTTACACCCAAATCCTGCCGCAAAATTTTCCACGTAGTGGAGTAACAGAGGCCCAATTGCTGCGAACGGCGGCGAATCGACATTTCACGGTCATCACTAACACTGGCGGATACAGCCGCAATA